TTTTTTTTGTTTCAGTTTTGCCTTCACTCTCTTGGCAGCTCTACCTTCCTCTGTCAAAGTGCTGATAAAACCCACTTTCTGGCACTTTAAACTGGCCTTGGTGAGTTTACTGTGACCCATCTCATGTCCAAACAAGTTACAGAGTTAAAGAGCAAAACTTGATTTATAAAAACGTAAACTTGTTTTCTATTTTATTTACATGTTTGCAGTTTCTTTCCCTTGTTAATATTCCTAACTGTAGGTGTTTTGATGACTTCTTGCTCATAGGTGAACTCATCTCTGGCCTTTTTTCTCTTCTCCTATCAAGTCCATGAAAAGTCCATCCTATTGGCTGCCCTGTAAGTTTTGCATTTTTGTATCAATCATATTAATGAAGGTGGATGTAATTATTGCTCACAAAGCATTCATCTAATCCCAACTGTAAATCTAAGGTTATGCCATTCAGGTTGTATGCATCTTCTATACGTCTGCACCTGGTAAAGGGACATTAACCCCCTCTGCTTTGTCCCTGGGCTGCAAGGCGACAGTTCTATTTAGGTCAAAGCTTTCTAACGGAGAGGTCGTTCACCCCTGTCATTACGCTTACTGCTGCACAGACACAAACCCTACTGTCGCTGTCATGGACAATGTGTTAATGGGGAGTTGGGTCATATGGTAAATGCTGAGCTTGCTCACATAAAGGTGTGCATGTGTGTGGCTCATTATCGTTTACTTCCTTTGCATAAAGCTGTAGGAAGAGGCTGAAACAGAGACAGACTTGACAAAGAGGGATCTGGTTCCTAGATCTGAGCTCTTCTATTAATCTAGATTAGTGTAGATTGTTGCTTTATTACCTATTGAGTTTTATCCCCCCACCTGTCTCCCTAAATCAATCAGTAATGCATGTCCACAGATTAGGAGAGAATAGTAGGCAGCAGCTTGGGGGCTGTTTGCACAGGATCAATTATTGGGCTGTAACAGGTTCGCCAAAGAGCACTGACTGTAATTATGGGCTTGGGGACCAATGGAAAGAGCTCCTTCTAGAACGAGTGCAGGTTTATACACAGACGCATACACATTTGTGACAAGTGGGTTGTTAATTTATAACTACAACTTTTTGACACATTCACAAATAAATCTAATTTTGAAATATTAGGAACACTTTTTTTAAGAAAGCCCTCAAAGTTCTCGATCTAAAGCCACTTTTATTTCATCATTTTAACCTTATGGAAAAACGTCAGAGACCTGGAAGTGGCATCAGTCCCAGAGCCACCACTGGAAGTGACTGTAAATTTCTGCGTTTCCAAACAGCATTTGGATAAACTCTTTATATAGATCAAAAATTGTAACTATTTTAATAGTTTACCACCGGCTTTAAGAAACTCTTTCACTTCCTCCATCTTTAAAGCTCTTCTGAAATATTATCAGGAGGAACATCAAACCTGTGATCAAGTTTAACCTGTGTGTGTATTATTTTCTCTATTATTTATATAACCTATTATCTTACTAGTAAATGTGGGCCGTTAATTTTTGCTTGCTTGCATATTATATTTCCTCTTATTTCTTTAGTGCTTTACCCTCGACCTGCCAGGGACTGCAGATGAAAATGAGCCGGCTAAATCTGGCACATTTACAGGGCAAACCTACGGTCATTAATGTGCAAAGTCCATTTTAATAAATGGGAAACATGGATGGATGGATGGATGGATGGATGTTTTTTTATTTATCATTGTTATTCCTTCAGCTTCTCCCTCCTTCACAGCAAACTAACTTGCATGAAGACCTGGTGATTGTTTTTTCACTGGATGCCCTTCCTGACTCAACCACAGACCATCGAGCTACCACAGCCCTCTGTGTGGAGCTGGGAATTGCCATCTAGGGCACCTGGGGGAGCAGATGGTGGGGGTTAAGGACCTTGCTCAAGGGCCCAGAGTGGGACAAATGAGGGTGGAGACATGTCAGTGTTTTACCTTTCCCACTTACATTTTGATGTTGTGGGCCCAGGGAGTCGAACAAGCAACCTTCCTATCACAGGCACACCTTTTCTAACCTGTGTGCCACCCCCACCCCCCGAATCTGAAATGGCTTTATTCTTGTGTAGCGTTCTGAGCAAACTGTCGTTGTGAACTGGTGCTACGGTGTAAAGATGAATTGAATAACTACCGTAAGTTAAGGTATACAGAGATATAAACGGGCCAAAGGTGCTGGTATATACTGATGTTTTGTGACAATTAATTTGTGATTCATGTGAATAGTATTTAGCTCAAGTCCAACAAATTTCACTTCCTGTTATTAAAGAGATCTAATGTTAGTGTATGAAAAATGTGTTTAAAATTGTTCATCTTTTTTTCCAGGCCAGTTTGCCTCCTCCTGAATGACCTTCCATTCATGAGTATTTGGTTCCTGCAGGTTTCTACTTTCAGGTAAGATATTAGGTTTTTTTGTTTTGTTTTTATGTCAGAGATCAAAATGCCCTTTATTGCCAAAACTAAATTTGATAGTGAGTTTAAATTATGACAAGTATTTCTTGCCGTTGCCATGCAATAAACCATTTCTACACCAAAGTTCATGCTCAATAATCCAGGTAAAAATCCAACAATGTTCAGTCAGGTCATCTGGACAGTTTCTTTTTTTGGCTGAGACGTTTCGTCCTTCATCCGAAGGATGAATACTTCAATCTGATTTCCACAAACAGCATACTCCATAGTGGACAAAAACAATTTGCTGGTGCTAAGATAGCCTCCGGGGCCGCCCTCTCCCCCATTGCATTTCTAGTTTAATCTTCAGTCATTAGCTTTATAGAACTGATATTTCTGACTTGTTTACTGAAGTTTAAACAGTAATAAGCCCAGAATGGGTGAAGGAAATCTAAATTTGTGTTTTTGCAAAGTTATAGTTTGTAATGCATTGCTTTAACTGTTTGAAAATTCATCCTAAAATATGGACCACTAATAAGTGATAAAAGAAATGGTCCTAAACAAAACATAAATCTTAAAAAGCTGAATAAAGTGTGCTGAGCTGAGTACCATGAGTGGAAAAGAAAAGCAATGCTGAATCTAACTTTCACCAGCTGTCGTTAAATTCTTCCAGCAGCACTAATTGTTGTGCGAGTGGTTTAGTATAAGGATATCTGGGGCTTACACAGCATAGTCTGCATGCCTGCTGTCTAAATGTGTTGTGTAGGGACAGGGGGTCATTCTGCAGTATACAGTTTGACGTAGACTTTCACATTGTCTGCAGCCTTCACAGACGTTGCCTTTAAAAAAATACATCTTTTGTTAACATAATTGGCTGAATGAAACCTCGAGTAAGAGCCATTTTACTGGTGAATGAAACCAGTCTGCGACAATCAAGGAAGTATGTATTTCTTAAATGTTGGAACATTTGTTAACTGAGTGGTACATTTTGGTTTGAATAAGTAGTTTGTTGTGAGTGGAAAGTTTTTTTTTTTTTTTTTAATAAATGGGGGTGTTGTGTATTTACTATGAACCAACTGTTGTTAAACTAAGCATGCTTGTTATGGTCACTTCCCCCCAGGAGAAGGAGTCGCTCATCGATGCCTGCAGGATGAAAATGTTTTATATTCTGCTTTTGTTTTGTTTTTTTAACAACTGCAGCACTGAATATTTACATGTGCTGCTGAAAATAAATCAAACTAAAATTTGTCGAAGGTTATTTTATTGTTGATATGAAACTGATTTAGTCTCATAATGCCTTTAAATATTTAAATTTGTATGCAACCCTCATTCGGCTGCACATAAAACCTAAACAAATACCAGAATGGCTTAAAAATTATATTTCTTCTCAGATAGACATAAAGGGCAGTCTGAAGTGTCATGTGTAAATACATCATTGTTTATGTTCCTTTGTGCAGCATGCTGCCTCTTCTCCTGAAAGATGGGCTGCTGATCCCCTACGCTGTCACGTCAGTGGCTTTCCTCCTCATCAGCACCTACTTACTGTCGGCGCTGGATCACTGCTCAGAGGACAAGCTGAGAGTCGGGGCCTACAGGAAGCTGCTTTACTGCCTTCCCAAAGTGGACCTGGCCTGTGGGATAAGATGGAAGGTCAGTGTGGCCCATGGAAACAAAAGCTGCATATTTAACTTGGAAACCTTTTTTGTCCCAGGGCCTAAGGAGGAGTCCTAATCTCCTTAGATTACCAAGTGAACATGAATAAAAAACTATCTATCCATCCATCCATCCATCCATCCATCCATCCATCCATCCATCCATCCATCCATCCATCCATCCATCCATCCATCCATCCATACATACATACATACATACATACATACATACATACATACATACAT